TTGTCTCTGGCAAAGACTATAACATGACTGCAAACTCCAAGCTGGTTATTATCACAGTTGGGGCATGTCAGCAAGACAGAGAAAGCCATCTTAATTTGGCCCAGCATAAAGGGAACATCTTTAAATTCATCATTCTTAATACTGTAAAATACAGCCTAAACTGCAAGTTGCTTGTTGTTTCCAATCCAGTAGATATCGTGACATACGGCTTGGAAGATAAGCAGCTTTCCCAAAATACCTTTTTATTGGAAGTGGTTGCAATCTGGATTCAGTCTAATTCCATTACCTAATGGGGGAAAGGCTGGGAGTTCACTCATTAACTGTAATGGGTCGGTACCTGGGGAGCATGGAGACTCTAGTGTACCTGTATGGAGTAAATGTTGCTGGTGTCTCCCCAGAAAAATCTGTGCCCTGACTTTGGCACTGATACAGATAAGCAATGGTGGAAAGAGGTTCACAAACAGGTAGTCGACAGTGCCTATGAGGTGATCAAACTGAAAGACTACACATCCTGGGCCACATGACTGTGGCAGATTTGGCAGAAAGTATAATGAAGAATCTTCTTTGGTGGATGCATCCAATTTTTACCATGATTAAGGGTCTCTATGGAATAAAAGATGATGCCTTCCTCTGTGTTCCTTGCATCTTGGGACAGAATGGAATCTCAGATGTAGTGAAGGTGAATCTGATGCCTGAGACAGAGGCCCATTTGAAGAAGAGTGCAGATACACTTTGGGGGTAATCCAAAAAGAGCTGCTGTTTTGAAGTTTTCTAATGTTGTACCACTTCACTGTCTATGCTACAACAGGATTTTAGTTGGAGGTTGTGTATATTATTGTCCTTATTATTGGTTACTCTAGTAATATTAAAATGACCCAGGAAAAACATCAGTTTCCTAAAGTTACAAATAGAAATAGTTCACAAAACCCTGCAGCCATAACCTGATGTTAGATGATACCTATCTCGTGTAGTCTTGAATTGGTTAATGTAAAATAGTTCCACCACCTCAGAGACACCACTGCCAGTGTTGCATATGCTGCAGTTGCTCTTCAAACCAGGTATGTAGTTACTGTGTGTTATTTAACTCCTGGTCCCTTCATCCAACATGTCTAGTCCAACCACATCCTGGGATGCTTGAAACACTCTCCCTCTGCCCCTCCCTGCTTCGAGAGAGAGAGAGAGAGAGAAAGAAAGAAAGAGAAAAAGAAAGAAAGAAAGAAAGGGTGAGCGAGCGAACGGACAGACATCAGTTCTACATAAACTCGTCTAGCATATAAACACTTACCAACTTAACTTATGAAGTCAACAATACCATGATACCAAAACCAGACATGAATAAGAAATCTATAGACCAGTATTTCCCCAGGATATGAATGCAAAAAACTCGGAACAAAATATCAGCAAGTAGAAGCCAGCAACTTATGAAAATAATAATGTATCATCACACCAAGTGGAGTTCATCCCTGGAGTGAAAATCAATCAATATAGCTCAGTATATTAGACTTAAGAAGCATAATCATATGATTTCAGTAGAGGCAAAAAAAAAAAAGCATTTGACAAAGTTCAATTCATTCCTGACAAAAACTCCCAGCAAACTGAACATAGAAGAAACTTCCTTAACTTGATAAAGAATATCTGTAAGAGCCCTACAGTTAATATCATATGTAATGAGGATATCTACTCTCACCACATCTATTCAAGATTGTACTGAAGGATCTAGCCAGTGCAATAAGGCAAAAAAAAAAGGAGGAGGAGGAGGAAGGAAGGGCATGCATTCACACTGGAAAGGAAGAAATAAAACGGTCTTTAATCATAAACATAACTGTCTACTTAGAAAATATCAAATAATCTATAAAACAGCTACCTGAACTTAGTACTAAGTGAATTTACCAAGGTTGCAAAATACAAAGTCAATACACAAAAATCAACTGTATTTTACACAGTATTAACAAAATTGAAATTTGGAGGAAAAAAAGTAACATTTACAATAACTTCAAAAATCTTCAAATACTTAGGGATAAATATGTACAATATTTGTATGCTGATAACTACGAAGCACTGATGACAGAAATAAAAAATAAACTAAATAAATGGAGAGATATACCCTAGTAGTAGATTGGAAGACTTGATATCGTTAAAGGGTCAATGCTCTCCAAAATGACAACTCAAGTTGTCCTGCAAATGAAGGAGGGGGATGTCCTCAAATTCCTTGCAGCAGGAACCCACTTAGGTGGGTTGACTTCCAAATGGAACAGTACAACTACAAAAGGAAGAGTGATGGCATCTACACCATAAATCTGAACAGAACCTGAGAGAAGCTTCTGCTGGCAGCTTGTGCCATTGTTACCACTGAAAACCCAGCTGATGTCAGGGTCATATCATCCAGGAATACTGGCCAGTATTAGCTGTACTGATGTTTGCGGCTGCTACTGGAGCCACTCCTATTGCTGGCCGCTTCACTCTGGAAACATTCACTAACCAGATCCAGGCAGCCTCCTGGGAGCCAGGACTTTTGGTGGTTACTGATCCCAGGGCTGACCACCAGACTCTCACAGAGGCATCTTATATTAACCTGCCTACCATCATTCATTAAGTCTTAAGCTGCTCTTCCACAAAGGCAATAAATGGAAATAATGGAAAATAAAGTTTCTTAAAACAAAACAAAATAAAAACAAATAAATAAAAGACCTAAATGTAAAACCTCACACTTTAAAATTTCTATATGAAAGTACTGAACAAAAAATTTTTTGTGACCTTAGTTTATGCAAAGATTTCTTAGATATAAAACCAAAAACACAACCCATAAAAGAAACTGATAAACCAAACTTCATCAAAATTGAAAACTTCTGTTCTTTTAAAGATAATATTAAGAAAATAAAAAACGAGCCTGAGAGAAAAGATTTGCAAAACACGTATCTAATAGGGGCATCTGGGTGGCTCAGTGGTTAAACGTCTGCCTTCGGCTCAGGTCATGATCCCAGGGTCGGGGGATCGAGCCCCGCATTGGGCTTCCTGCTCAGCGAGAAGCCTGCTTCTCCCTCTCCCACTCCCCCTGCTTGTGTTCCCTCTCTCGATGTCTCTGTCAAATAAATAAATAAAATCTTTGGGAAAAAAAAAAAAAGATTCTCTCTCCGGCTCCCTCTTGTTCCTACCCTCCAAGCACCTGCTTATGCTCTCTCCCTCTCAAAAAACAAACAAACAAAAATGTCAATTCATTCCTGTTATCAACATCCCAGGAACTCCCAGACTGACTCTCCAACCTTCCTTTTATGTCTATGAGCAAATTAGTCGCCTTACAATAAGTTTCTTTTCTCCTTAAGACAATGTCACTTTTCTGCCGGCAAAGACTCTAATGGATACAGCACCCCTGACGCATTTAAGATCTCTAAATCACCTCGAAAGTATAACTCAATCCTCCTGCTCAAAAATCTTAAATTACCCACAACTTCCCACTATTACACTCTTCTCTAGGGAGACTTTTCAGGGTTCTCCCGATTTGGGTCCAATCAACATTTCTGAACTTATTTCTCACCAATGGCATCACATATACTAGCGCTGTCTTCTCCACTTGGAATGCTATCCCACCATCTTTGCCTATAAATCTTATCCACCATTCCAAATCTACTTCAATTATTCCCTTGTGTATAAATTCTTATCAATTCCACTAACACACCAAAATATTGTTAAAAAAAAAAAAATCCCCATGCCACTTTGCAGCTATTTTATTCCATATTCTGCACTTATTTCTGTATGGATTATATTCTTCCACTGACCCCACTAACTCTTCCAAAAGGCAAAAGGAGTAGAAATATGTCAAGTACGTGCTGTCACAATTCAATCAAGAATAGTATCTCCAGGGCGCCTGGGTGGCTCAGTTGGTTAAGTGTCTGCCTTGAGCTCGGGTCATGATCCCAGGGTCCTGGGATCAAGCCCCACATCGGGCTCCCTGCTCAGTGGACAGCCTGCTTCTCCCTCTGCCTACCACTCCCCCTGCTTGTATGCTCTGTCGAATAAATAAAATCTTAAAAAAAAAAAGAATAGCATCACCAGGGGCACCTGGCTGGCTCAGTCAGAGAAGCACACGACTTTTGGTCTTAGGGTTTTAAGTTCAAGCCCCAAGTTGAGTGTAGAGACTACCTAAATAAATAAACTTAAAAAAAAAAAGATAATATCACAATATTGGCTATAATATTATGAAAAAATTTAAACCAATCAAATTGTTTTTGAGAATTGGTATATGCAAATTTGGGATCAACTTCTGCTTCTGAGCAATGATAGAGTAAATGGGACAGGATTTATTTTCCTGTCATAAGACCTGAAGAACTGGGAAAATATAAAATTCCTTTTTAGGCACTGAACAAGAGGCAACACATGACCATAACCTCTGAGAGAAGTAAAACAAGGTAAGTTCTATGGTTACTGGCTTTCTACCTAAAAACACTTTCCAGAATGCAGCACAGGCAAAGGGATTCCAAGTAAAGCATAGCACTCTCTGAGCTAAGAAGACCAAGAGTTTAGGAGAGCCAAGCCAATCGAAATAGAGAAAGTGGACTTTCTAGAGAAAAAATTCCAGAACTGTTTAGGGGATGCCTTCCAATATTTTGCTGAATTAAGTTCCACATGCACAGGGTGAAACTCTGATAAGGCCAGGCAAAGAACAACTACTAGGCAGCTAAACTCCCAGAAGTCACACAGGCTGGAAGATGTCTGAGTTCCAACTCAACCACAATGGAGGGTCCTTGTTGAAGACTTATGGCACTCAGTAGAGACCCCCAAAAGGGTCATAACTTAATAGTAAAGCTAAATTAGCCCTAGTATAAAGACTACTCTAAATTTACCTTAGTGAAGCTTAAAAACAACCCTGAAGGGATTAAACTGATCCACAACTGCCCATCAGAACAAAGTTTAACATTCTTTAAAAATAGACAAAAAATTCAGCATAAAAAGAAAAAAGTGACAACATACTAAGCTCAATCAAAAATTAAAAGACATACCAAAAAGTGCTGGCTTCAGCAGCACATGTACTAAAATTACAACGATACGGAGAATATTAGCATGGTTTCTGTGCAAGGATGTCATGCAAATTCACGAAGCCATCCATAAAAATAAAAAAATTTTTTTTAAATGCATGGGTGCCTGGCTGGCTCAGTCAGTGGAGCATGCGATTCTTGATCTCAGAGTTGTAAGTTCAAGTCCCATATTGGGTGTAAAGATTACTTAAAAATAAAATCTTTTAAAAAATGCAAATTAAAAAAGAAAGACATACCAAAAATCCCAGGAAATGTTATCCATAACTGGCAGAAAAACTGATCAACAAAAATAGACCTTAGAATGAAAGAGAAATTAGCAGAAAAGGGCATTAAATTAGTTTTTCTAAATACCTATAAGCATTTAAATAATAACATATACAGGGCGCCTGGGTGGCTCAGTTGGTTAAGCGACTGCCTTCAGCTCAGGTCATGATCCTGGAGTCCCGGGATCGAGTCCCACATCGGGCTCCCTGCTCA